ACAAAAGAAAGATGGAAGATCACGTGTAACAAAAGGATGCTACGACAATACCCCCCTTCCAGAAAATGTGTCGTCCTCGACAAGATTAAGAGAGAGAAAAAAAATGCAATTAAGCATCAGCAGCAAGTTGTTGGCGAGCTTGAGCACGTGAAGCCGTAGGGTCGTACCAAGGTGTATTGGAGATGGTGGAGTTGATGTGAATTGGTCGAAGGCGGTCTGTGTGCACCCAAGAAGCATAGGTGTTACCATTCATGTCTTGTATCTGGTAAATATGGGTATCCAAGTTGCGAGCAAGCACACGATAAGGGCCTTTCCAATTGTATTCGAGGCTGAACTTGTTTTCATGACGCATAAGTACGTGATCACCAACCGCGAAAACTTGAGGCTTCATCAATGCATCCCAACGGGCTTTGTCACTTGCAGCATTATTCTTGAGGCGTTGTTCAGCAGTGGCACGTGCTTTACGTAATTCGCGAACCATAGGGACCCGGCCTTGTGCAGCTTGTTCCATTGTAGAATCGGAATCATCCAAGGGAGATAACACGAAAGGTTGTAGGTGGTCTCCAGGAAGTTTGGGTTCTTGGCCATAAACAAGGAAATAAGGGCTAAATCCAGTGGTACGATGTTTCCTTACGCGACAAGCAAAAACAGCAAGGTGAATGAACTCATCCCAACGATGGATTTGGCCGTTGACGTATTTGCGAATCATCTGCTTGAGGATGCCGTTGGTGCGTTCAGCTTTAGCATTGGTCCTTGGATGGAAAGCCGATGTGAATTTGTGTTTCACCTTGAGTCGTCCCAAATAGTTGGTGAGTACTTTTGATGAAAAATTGGTACCACGGTCTGTCAAAATCTCGTTCATGCAGCCAAAAGGCAGCATCAATTCTTCATAAATGAAGTCATTAATGGATTCACCCGTAGCATTAGGCACCGCACGAGCACAACACCAATTGGTAGCGTAGTCCACTGCAACAAGTAACCATCGATTGCCATTCTTGGTAGTAGGAAGCTCACCGATGAAGTCCAAATGCCAACGTGAAAAAGGTGGTGGTACTTCCAAAGGGACCATTGGTGCATGATGGGTCTTGCGATTAGCGTTAGCAGCTAATTGACATTCCGCACAAGAGGCCAACCATTCTTGAATATCCGTTCGCATATTGGGCCACCACCAACGCTTGACCATATGATCAACGACTGTTGTTTTGCCTGCATGACCAAGTGAATGATGAAAATCTCGCACCAAGTCAGCACGTCTTGCAAATTGTACATAACGTCGCTCCTCCAACTTGTCGCCAATACGCACCAAGCGAAACACTTGTTGATCACGAGTCACAAACTTGTCCTTATGCTTGAGTAGGAGATCCTTGTATATGGCTGGCCAGTTGTCTTCGGGTGATGCATAAAACTTAGGCCAATCGGATTCTTGGATGGACTTGACGGCATACAAATATTGAGGTTCCATGCTTGCTTCCTGGCTAATACAATTTGGGCCATCACGTCTTGAGAGAAGGTCTGGTACACAATTTTCCTTGCCGGGCTTGTATTGAATGATAGGGTCATAAAGCTCAATTTCCGCTACCCAACGGGTGAGGCGAGGTGTTGGTTTGGCTTGTGTGCGAAAATACTTGAGTGGGTTATGATCGGAGAAAACGGTGTATTGCCTTCCTTCAATGAAACAGCGCCAAGCTCGCAACGCATGAAGAATAGCCAGCATTTCGCGTTCTTGGGCTGGGTATGAACGTTCTTCATTTGACAGCTTCTTGGACTCAAAAGCAACCGGATGTTGGACACCATCGGGACCTTCCTGCAAAAGTACTGCACCCACACCATAGTCGCAAGCATCGGTCTCAATGATATAAGGTTTGTAAGGATCAGGTGGTGCCAAGATAGGGGCTTGGGAAATTCTTGATTTAATCTCCTCAAAAGCGCGTTGACACTCCTCCGTTCAAACGATTGCTCGTTTCTTTTCTCCTGCTCCTTTGGTCAAATCAGTCAATGGCGAAGCCACGGCAGCGAAATCACGAATGAATCGTCGATAGTGAGACCCAAGACCAACAAATTGTCTGACTTCTTGCACATTGGTGGGCACAGGCCATTCTTGAATCGCTTTCACCTTGCTTGTTGAAGGCAGCGTACCGGCACCAGATACTTGAAATCCTAAGAACTCCAACTCGGTCTTGAAGAACTCGCATTTGCGAAGGTTTGCAATCAATCCCTCCTCCCTCAGTCGTTGCAGCACCTTGCGAACGTGCATCTCATGATCAGCCTTGTTTTTGCTATAAATCAGGATATCATCAAGGTACACCATGACAAAATCATCAAGGAAGTCGTTGAGTATCCGATTCATAGTTGATTGGAATAGGGCTGGAGAGTTACGAAGACCAAAAGGAACCACCAACCACTCGTAGGAGCCATAGCGTGTGTTGAAGGCTGTTTTGGGAACGTCTTGATCACGAATGCGTAATTGATGGTACCCACTCTTCAAGTCGAGGCTGGTGAAAAATTGGGCACCACTAAGACGTTCCAAACATTCGTCAATGCGAGGTAGAGGGTGACCATGGCGCCGTGTTATTTGATTGATGGCTCGATAGTCGATACACATGCGCAACTCTCCCGATTTCTTGCGTACAAAAAGAACTGGTGCACCCCAAGGTGAAGTACTAGGGCGGATAAGACGTAAGTCTAGCAATTCTTTCAGTTGTTTACGCAACTCATCCAACTCCAAAGGGCTCATCTTGAAGGGAGGTCGATTGATTGGTGCGGCATCACCGGTGTCAATGATATGGGCGACATCACGTTCACGAGGTAATCCCGGCAGCTTGTCTTGGAAAACATCCTTAAACTCATTGAGCAAGGCTTGTACAGATTCGTTGTTGTCGACATCATCAGGAGATCTGACGAAGCAAAGATACAAATCTGAAATGAGTTTGCGACGATCATGGCGTTGGAGTTGTCGATCCGAAAGTAAGTAGGCTAAATCAGGGATGCTTCGCTCATGCTTTGGACGTAGTAAATACTGATGACCATCCTTGTTGATTTGCCAAGTATCCATGTGCCATGCCGGTATAGGATTGACAGCTTTCAACCAATCGCGTCCGAGGATAACGTCGAACTTGGTATCCAGCACAAAAGCATCGACACTGTGCTTGTACCCCGCAGCGTCTAATGCCAACGTCACCTGCTTGTCGATCGATAACGTATGACCACCAGCTGTTTCAACAGCGCGACCTGGTACCTTTCTTGCAACTTGATCCATGACAATATGTGGCGAGACATATGAAGCAGTGGCACCACTATCAATCAGGGCGCTTACAATGACACCATTGCATACAATAGAGTACAGAGGTAATTCGTTTTCCTTTATTGAACACAAGGTATCAATGTAAGTTTGATCCTGACTAATACTATCATGCTGTTTGATATCGCTTGTAGACGATTCTTGTTGTGGATCTTGCTGTGCGACATTCTCCGTGGGCTCCAATTCGATGAGGTTGGCTTCCGGGACTTGCTGTTGTGATGGAATTGGTTGCACCACATGAAGGGCTTGTTGAGTGCGTGGTAAGGATCCCTTCACTCCTTCCACGCTTTGCCTTTTAAATCACTTTCTTGACGACCACGAGGAGATGCACGAGATGATGAGCTTGGTTGAGAAGGGCACATACGAGCAACATGACCCATGCCACCGCAATTATAGCACTGCTTGTTTTGCCAACTACTTGGTGGTGGTCGATTGGATCGAAAGCGTGATTGTCCCCCATAGTTTCTCCATCCTGGTTGAGTAGGCCGATGGCGAATGACGTCGAGATCCATAGGAGCTACACCATCAGAGCGAAGATATTCAGGGGTATTCCTTTCTTGACGAGCTTGTGTGCCACTTGCCAACTCATGCCGAATGTTACGAGCACTTTCGTACGCCAATGCCATACGTTGAGCCTCTTCTGATGTCGATGGGAAACGAGTAACAACGTGGGCCCGAATATCATCTTGCAGTCCTCTTGTGAAGCGATCGAGTGCTTCTTCGTCAGTCATCGATGGAATTTGGATGCGCACGCCACGAAATTGAGCAACGTAATCAGTCACTGTACCAGTTTGATGCAGTACAGCCAACTTGCCACGAGCTTGTTGCGTTGCATTGAGTGGTCGAAATTCGACAATGATATGCTTTCGAAAATCAGCCCACTCAGTCACCGCACTTCCATGAAATGATCGTTGCTCCCACCATTCTTCCGCTTCATCCCGTAACTTCATGATAGCAAAGGGCACCCATTCATGTTCCTCCAAAGTGGACAGCTCCAAGTACCGTTCCATAGTGCGAATCCAACTTTCAACAGCACCTGGTGATCGATCTCCTTGGTAAGTGTCTGGTTCCGGAAGCTTGGGTCTGGTAAAATTGTTGGTTCGTTGGTTGCTTTGTTGTTGTTGTAGGAGCTGTTGCATGCCGGTCATAAGCAACATCATCTGTTCTTCCATGGTAGGTGCTCGTCTTGGTTGTCCTTGTTGTCCTTGTTCCATAGCTGGTTCTTCAGTAAAACTTGGTTCTTGTCTCGTGGTAATCTCTTCTTCTGAATCACTGCCTGGCGTTCGATATTCTTGAAAACTTGCTTTGTTGAAAGGGTTGTTGCTGGATGGATCGAAATTTTGCATCAGCTACCAAATGTCGTATTCGTAATCTGCGCTGGTAATCCAATGGCCAGAGTATAGAATAGACGAGAGATAGCTTTTTGCTGAATGAAGATAAGAATGTAAGATGATGTTTATTCATATGATCGAGAGGGGTATTTATACTATTCTATAATGTGAAGGCGCAGCAAGATGGTGGTGTTACGAAGTAAGCGCAGCAAGTGTAATAAAAGAGTCGCGCAGCAATGATGCTGCTGCGAAGCAATGTGTAACAAAAGAAAGATGGAAGATCACGTGTAACAAAAGGATGCTACGACAATACCCCCCTTCCAGAAAATGTGTCGTCCTCGACAAGATTAAGAGAGAGAAAAAAAATGCAATTAAGCATCAGCAGCAAGTTGTTGGCGAGCTTGAGCACGTGAAGCCGTAGGGTCGTACCAAGGTGTATTGGAGATGGTGGAGTTGATGTGAATTGGTCGAAGGCGGTCTGTGTGCACCCAAGAAGCATAGGTGTTACCATTCATGTCTTGTATCTGGTAAATATGGGTATCCAAGTTGCGAGCAAGCACACGATAAGGGCCTTTCCAATTGTATTCGAGGCTGAACTTGTTTTCATGACGCATAAGTACGTGATCACCAACCGCGAAAACTTGAGGCTTCATCAATGCATCCCAACGGGCTTTGTCACTTGCAGCATTATTCTTGAGGCGTTGTTCAGCAGTGGCACGTGCTTTACGTAATTCGCGAACCATAGGGACCCGGCCTTGTGCAGCTTGTTCCATTGTAGAATCGGAATCATCCAAGGGAGATAACACGAAAGGTTGTAGGTGGTCTCCAGGAAGTTTGGGTTCTTGGCCATAAACAAGGAAATAAGGGCTAAATCCAGTGGTACGATGTTTCCTTACGCGACAAGCAAAAACAGCAAGGTGAATGAACTCATCCCAACGATGGATTTGGCCGTTGACGTATTTGCGAATCATCTGCTTGAGGATGCCGTTGGTGCGTTCAGCTTTAGCATTGGTCCTTGGATGGAAAGCCGATGTGAATTTGTGTTTCACCTTGAGTCGTCCCAAATAGTTGGTGAGTACTTTTGATGAAAAATTGGTACCACGGTCTGTCAAAATCTCGTTCATGCAGCCAAAAGGCAGCATCAATTCTTCATAAATGAAGTCATTAATGGATTCACCCGTAGCATTAGGCACCGCACGAGCACAACACCAATTGGTAGCGTAGTCCACTGCAACAAGTAACCATCGATTGCCATTCTTGGTAGTAGGAAGCTCACCGATGAAGTCCAAATGCCAACGTGAAAAAGGTGGTGGTACTTCCAAAGGGACCATTGGTGCATGATGGGTCTTGCGATTAGCGTTAGCAGCTAATTGACATTCCGCACAAGAGGCCAACCATTCTTGAATATCCGTTCGCATATTGGGCCACCACCAACGCTTGACCATATGATCAACGACTGTTGTTTTGCCTGCATGACCAAGTGAATGATGAAAATCTCGCACCAAGTCAGCACGTCTTGCAAATTGTACATAACGTCGCTCCTCCAACTTGTCGCCAATACGCACCAAGCGAAACACTTGTTGATCACGAGTCACAAACTTGTCCTTATGCTTGAGTAGGAGATCCTTGTATATGGCTGGCCAGTTGTCTTCGGGTGATGCATAAAACTTAGGCCAATCGGATTCTTGGATGGACTTGACGGCATACAAATATTGAGGTTCCATGCTTGCTTCCTGGCTAATACAATTTGGGCCATCACGTCTTGAGAGAAGGTCTGGTACACAATTTTCCTTGCCGGGCTTGTATTGAATGATAGGGTCATAAAGCTCAATTTCCGCTACCCAACGGGTGAGGCGAGGTGTTGGTTTGGCTTGTGTGCGAAAATACTTGAGTGGGTTATGATCGGAGAAAACGGTGTATTGCCTTCCTTCAATGAAACAGCGCCAAGCTCGCAACGCATGAAGAATAGCCAGCATTTCGCGTTCTTGGGCTGGGTATGAACGTTCTTCATTTGACAGCTTCTTGGACTCAAAAGCAACCGGATGTTGGACACCATCGGGACCTTCCTGCAAAAGTACTGCACCCACACCATAGTCGCAAGCATCGGTCTCAATGATATAAGGTTTGTAAGGATCAGGTGGTGCCAAGATAGGGGCTTGGGAAATTCTTGATTTAATCTCCTCAAAAGCGCGTTGACACTCCTCCGTTCAAACGATTGCTCGTTTCTTTTCTCCTGCTCCTTTGGTCAAATCAGTCAA